TTTAAAGGAGAAACAACATAGTTATCCACTTCAAGGATCAACTTCCCAAGAAGGATTTTCAACAAATTGGATTCTTAGAGCACCACAGTACAATATCCACACAATGAGATATGCAACTTTCAAAAACCTCTCATCTAGTCCTAAGTGGTCAACATAGCTCAACAACACGACAACTCTTTGTATATTCAACACAACAACGAAATTAACAATCTATCTATTATAAATTTTAGTTATACATAATAAATATTTAGTCTATGAATAACTTAAAAAAGCTATAAATTATTTTTTATATTAACTTTTTTTATAATCTCACTTTAATTTTTTTAAAGAAAATATTATTTTAAAAATTAAAATATTTTGCCTAAAAAATTTATTTATTTTTGAAATAAATATTAACTTGATAGTGGTGGAGCGTCAACAATGAAAATAATAATGATTATAATGGTGGGAGAGACAATAATAACAACGTAACAGTGATTATAATAATGATAATGACAATAATAATAATAATAATTTAATGATAATTATGTGAAGACAATGATAAATAATAATATTATTTGTAATTCTTTAATTTGAGTCACCTATTTTAATTTAAGAATTGAGAACGAGTCATTCTCAATTAATTAACTTTTAATAGGTAAGATTTTTTTTCTTCATATTAATATCTATTTAAAATTGATAGATAGTTAATTATATATTAATATGATGCAATAAATGCTTTATTATAATTTTTATTAATTTTTTTTCTAATTATTATTATAAAAATTATAATAAAATTATATTTCTTTACATTGCCTTTTTATTCAAGTAATAAATTATTGAAGTTTTTTTTAATAAAATAAGATAATTTTTTCATGTATTAAATTACTTAAATTAATTTAAATATTTTTAACTTTAATAGATGATTTTGTCAATATTTAATCTGTCATAACCATCGTTGTATTCCTATTTCATACATTACAAAACATTTTTCTATAATTGATTCATTTTTGTTTTCTTCTCAAATTTCCTTTCTTGGAGAACACGATATACATATTTTATGTTTTCTTAAAGTATCCGTAACTGCTTGTATACCCTTCATTAATTCCTTAGTCGTCCCTGTCTAAGTTTCAGAAATTTCCATAACACCTTCTGAACGAAATTTTCTCTTGCAAAAAGATCCCCACCTAACGCTTCATCCAACGGCCGATGTTTGATCAGAAAAAAATCTCATTTCCCGACCGTGGGATCAGAACCAAAAAACTCTAGAACCATCTCTAATCCCCGTTCGGTGCACCGTGACCCTAACCCGAATAAATACACCCTCATCTCTAACATAACCCTAAGTAAAATTCATCAAAATTCTCAGCACCTAACACCGTTTCAAATCCTTCTCGATTGCACCGTCGTAACCGGTGAGGGATTTTGCTGGTTCAGTTTTCTCTTCTTTTTCTTCTCGCATTGTTTCTTTTTATTTTTCATTTTAGATTAATTTTTGATAGATACATAGAATTTTGTATCTAATAACATTATCTAACGTTAAACATGCTTTTTGTGACATGCAGGCATGTGTGTATGAATTTTGAGGTGTTGGTTATCTTTGATTAAAATGAGCAGTATTCAAATTGCTGCAATTAATCATGGGATTAACGTCCCAAAAGTATCTCAGTTGAGACACAGTTTTCATTGTGGACCATGTTTACTGCCTATGCGTTTTGACCCTCTCTTTGTGAGTTCTCTGAGCCTGAGAACTGAACATTCTTCTCGGCAATCTCTCCATGTTTGTTTCGCCGGTGGACAGGGAATGATGGAAAATAATGGGGTAATGCACCTTTGCTTGTGTTGCACTATACTGTTTTGCTTTTATCAGATATTTGTTATGTTTTAAATGTTTAAGTGTGTTTGTTTGGTTTGTAGTTATAATTTTTAAGACACCTCAACGAAAAGTTTGTGTCTTGTTGCATTGGGTCAAACTAACGTTTTTTACATTTCAAACGTAAAACCAAACACTTTAAGTTGTCAAGTTTGTGTTCTTACATGTGAGAATAATTTTTTGTCATTACTAATGTTGTGTTGTGAAGCATTGGGACCATTATGAGCATGTTTGGGAAAGATTCTATCCCAACATTTCAATTTTATACTTGGAACAACAACTAAAATTTGCTAAATGTTTTTATTTCCTGAAATATAAATGTTTACAGAGTATATGAAAATTTGAAAACTTATTATTTTTCCACGATTTTATTTTTCTTCTAAAGCTGATTTGGTAGGTTAAAGTTACTTTTATTTTGTTGTATTCAAATCAAATTAAACATTTCAAAATAATTTTTTAGGAGACTTGTCCAAACGAAAATTCATTATGATGATAATTGTGATTATGAAAAAAAATGATTTTCATAGTTGTTCCAAACATGCTCCTAGGTAGAGAAGTGGGGGGTTAGTTTATTTTTTCTGAGGCCCTGTTTCTTTGAATAACTCTGAAGTTTTCTTCGTAATATGAACCTTTGCTAAGTGTGTTATGAGGGATGGAAATAGAGGGATTGGAGTTGCTTTGATGCTGTTGATTTGTATTTGTGGTTTCAAATTTTGGATTTGAATTTGAATTATTCTTCAATTTCTAAATACTAACAACATAATTAGGATTTCCAGAGGAAATCTCTTCAGGAAGCTATGGGACAATTGAAGGGACAGTCATTAGAGGATATGTTGCGAGAGCAAATGCAAAAGGGAGGAAGTGGGGGCAGTCCTCCAGGAGGACGAGGTGGCAGTGGTGGTGGGGGAAGCTCCAGTGGGTCAGATGGGATGTCAAACGAATCTCTTCAAATTGTTTTAGCAACAGCTAGCTTTATATTGATGGTAAACTCTCTCTCTCTCTCTCTCTCTCTCGTTACATGAATTATGTGTACTGTGTATGCACAAGTGATTCTCCATCCACTTACTCATGAGTCTCAAGATTTCTTTGCTGTGTGAGAAATGAAGGAAAAGCTTGAATTGATGTTGCTAAGCTAACAATGTATTGAAGTGTGTGAGATTCTGTTACTTAATGAAAAATGAATCTATATATAACTTGCATTACAATAAACAACTAGTACCAAGAACACTTTTTGAAGTATTTAGAATGCATGAGGTCGTTGAGCTATATGCTAAATTTTTTATGATATTTATTTAACTTCTTAGACATGATTTTTTTATTAACAAGGTTGATAGGATTGTGGAATGTCTCATTTGATAACATTATGCGTCTTTTCCAGTATATTTTTGTCATCGATGGGTTAGAACTTATAAAGCTAGCTAGGGACTGCATCAAGTTTGTGTCTGGTAAAGGCCAGAGTGTTCGATTGAAGCGAGCCACATACAAATGGGTACGATTATACAATATTATCATTGAGAAGAAGGAAGCTATCAAGAATGGATTGGAGAAAGCATCCACATATTGGTTCCACCCTGATTTCTTTCGAGGTCTCCTTAGGCGACATTACATTAAATCAAATCCACAAGAATAATTTTTCTATGTACCTATTCATATAAATTGTCACTTGGGGCAAAAAATACATTCAATATCAATTTTTTTGGCATACATGTTGCTGAATTTTCACCTTATCAGAATGTTAGAGAATCTAAAGTTCTTCAAGAGTCTAAGGAGTTTTACAATGAGTGACGGGCTAGTTGTACTTGTCTATCGAGACTACGTTCCTGTCTTTTAGTAGATAGTGTCATGGTTCTAAATTGCAATTGTAGGGATTATAGTTATCTGTTATGGTATTAAATTATTTTATAATTTTAATGAACATAAAAGAGAATATTCATATAGTAATGAAAATTAATGAGACTTTTTTTTTTTTATAATAAATTTTCACTCCACACCCTTTTTCTTTTTTAACAAAATGCATCGCTCAATCTCCCAACACATTAATAATCCGACATTAGTTGCCTCTATCTCTTGCCAACATCTCTAGGGATCACACTTAGAATAGGAGTTTAAAGTTTGAATCTTGTTTATTTTTTTTATGACAAAAATGGGGAACAGAACCATATGTCAATAATATCTAAGCTTGATTTGTAGGATCAAAGGGGTATAGCTCAATTAGTTAACCAAAGTGTGTTGGGCAACAAGAGGGTGTAACTGAGTTAGTTAAGCAAGAGTGTTGTTGTAAATTGGTTGAGCAGCATATGTGAGTGATAAACATTTTTGGTATCCGAGTTTGATTTCCACAAATAAAATAACAAAAGCTAGATTTGTAGGAAAGATTAGAGATTGACATATTGAGCTACTAGTTTATGAGTTCGATTCGTTTGCATTTCTTATTTTTGTGAAAGGTAATATTGTATTTTTATCTTGGGAAAACTTTTCTCTCAATTCAGCAAGTTAAATTCCTATCTTGATGGAAACCTATTTCTCAAGGATTCCTTTGGAAGAAAAAGAATCATGAAGGGTAAAGGATGATAAAGATGGTATGAAGAATTGTAAGCTCATTTATCCTTATTTTGTAGGGTATCTTACACTTGAATGTCTATCCTTCCTTATGAATTTCTATTGTTGTTTTACATTTTTAGTAGTGATTGTATAAAATATTTTTTATTAGGTATTTTGGATCAAGTAGTATAATAATTTTTGTCCTTATATTTTTCTTTAAGGGTGTAATTAGTAGTTTATAGGAGTGTAACTAGCCTAGGTCATGGATTTATTTGGATTTGGATGATTCAAACATTTTTCTAGCTCATTAAGGTTGGACGTCCACTTGTCTAAGCAAGTGATTTGGATGTCCAGACTTAATGAACAACCCATCCAAACTTATTAAATAACTTACATAGCCTTCATAGTGATATCTCAACAAACTAGTCAATATAATCATTAATCTAGTAGTTGTAATAATTATGTTAGGTAATTGGAGTTAATTTAAGTTAACTTAGATTATTCTTAAAATATGATTAATTTAGCTTGTTCTATAAGCTTAGACAATTAACTATATTTGTAGAAAGTTAACTAGGATTTGTTAGCTTAAGTGCAAGATAGCTAACTATGGTTATATTTAACCATGATTAGTCTAACTTGTATCATGAGCTAATCAAATAATTATTACATTTGTATCATAGCAAGAGGCCATGAATTTTACTTTTTGTTGAATAATTAATGATGCTGTGAAGGAATTTTTCATTAGTGTTGTAATTTTACAAAGTTTAGTATAGGGAGGTTATTACATATATTGAAGCCTTGTCCTAGTCCTAGTTCAAGATAGTTCTTTGTTATCCAAAATAAAATAAAAAAAGGAGATTCTACATTTGTACCTCTTTGTATATGAGGTTGTACTCGTTAGTGAAATTTTTAATGACATATTTGAATTGATGATTAAAAAGTGGGTTGAAATGTAATAAAATAAAATATATATTTTTAAATTATCACATTACTAGTGTGAAATATATATAAATTTTGTTGATAAAGGATCTCTGTTAGAGAATTTGGTTGATTTCTTTTAGTAAAGTTCCTCTTCTTCATTATGTTTTTTCACCTATAGTATTTAAATTTGATACTTTAAAAAGGATCAAAGTTTAATTTTACTAAAATAAATTACATATTGTTGAAATGGATTAATATGAAAAAAAAATATCACCCTATAGTTAGAATATTTAATTATATAGTAAAAATAATATTTTATTATAGGATCAACTCTTATATATTAAACGCGAATAATTATCTTGCGTGAGAGATATTATTCAACGTGATAATTTTTAAGAATTTTTTTAACTTTCTATATAAGAAGCTTTGAAGCTCAAGAGAAAGTGAAGAAGCCATACATAAAGAAGATTTTGAGATATAGAGAAAATATACAATTCAAGAAAATCTTCTTCAAGCGTTTTCTTGTACTTGAACATTAGTTGTAATCACATTTAAAAAAGACGATAACTGCAACCTTGTAATACCTTTATAACTATTGTTATAGAGTAGAGTTTAGATAGGTTTGACTGTAAAAGATTAATTGAGGTTAAGTTTGGAGAGACTTATTTGTAAAAAGAATACATGAGTAGTGGTTTGAAGAGACCAGTCAAAGAACACTTCTACTGAGCAAGAAGTGACTTGGTAAAATAATACTTGTAACTTTGTTGAAAGTTAGTGAAACTCAATTTGATTGGATTGAGAACTAGATGTAGTATTAGTAGTTGAGGTGAACCAGTATAAAAATTTTATGTGTTCATTGATTATTCTTGCTAACTCTTCCTCTGTTGCATATACTACCTCATGAACTTGCAAGCGTGCAAATTTTTTATATACACTATCTAACCCCTCTTTCTAGTATCTATTTTTTCTCCATATTTATTATTTGGTAATTGTGAAATTTCAACAGACTCTATCTCTGTACCTCTTTTGTATATGAGGTTGTTCTTGTTAATGAAATTCTTAATGATATATTTGAATTGATGGTTAAAATGAAATGGGTTGAAATATAATGGAATAAAAGGTATTTTTTCTTTTATATCAGTTTTGTTGATAAATAATCTCTATTGGAGAATTTGATTGACTTCTAATATAAAATTTTTCTTCTTCATCATGTTTTTTCGTCCATGATATTTAAATTTGATACTTTATTTAAATGATCAAAGTTTAATTTTACTGAAATCAGTTACAAATTGCTAAATGGATTAATATGAAAAAGAATAAAAATATCACACTATAGTTAGAATATTTAATTATACAATAAAAAATAATATTTTATTATAAAGTCAATTCTTATATATTAAACATGAATAATTATCTTGCATGAAAACTATTTTACAATGAGAATTTTTAAGAATTTTTTTTTAACTTCCTACATAATTTAATTTTTTATTTATCATATTTATTTATTTATGAATAATTATTTTTAATATTTTTAAAATAAATTATCAGTAATTAAAAATATCTATTTATATAAATTATTTAAAATTTATATATTCAAATATAGTATTTTTATATATAATTTATTATAAATTTTAGTTATACATAATAAATTTATTATAAGTTTTAGTTATACATGATAACTATTTAGCCTGTGAATTGCATAACTTAAAATACTAGTAAAATAAAAATTCCATTTTATTGTTCAAGGTAAAAATGGAATAAAAAAGCTATAAATTCTTTATTTTTTCATATTATTTTATATAAAAAATAATTTTTATTTTATTTTTTTTATAATCTCACTTTAAAAAATTGTCTTTTAAGAAATTATTATTTTACAAATTAAAATATTTTGCTTCAAAATTTTATTTATTTTTGTACTAAATATTGACTTGATGGTGATAGAACGAAAATAATAAACTATAGTAAGTAACTACAATGGTCATAATAACAATGTTAATAGTAATTCAGTAGTAGTGATGCAAAGACAATGATGATTGTTAGATTTATGAGATTTTTCTTTATTTAAATTTTGAATTTTGAATAAATTTTAGATAAGATATTTGTTATTGTTATAGTTTTATTTATTATGTTTTATTTTCAGTTATTCAATATAAAATGATCCAGTTTCGTTTTCACAAGCTGTAAGTTGTGATAATTCTGAAAAGTGGTTAAATGCCATGAAAGAAGAATTAAAATCCATGGAACAAAATGATGTTTGGGACCTTGTAGAATTGCCAGAAGGTTGCAAGAGAGTTGGTTGTAAGTGGGTCTTTAAGACTAAACGTGACTTTGATGGCAACCTTGAAAGGCACAAGGCTAGACTTGTTGCTAAGGGTTTCACTCAAAAAGATGGCATTGATTATAAAGAGACTTTTTCACCCGTCTCACGAAAGGATTCCTTTAGAATTATCATGGCATTAGTAGCCCATTATGACTTGGAGCTACATCAAATGGATGTGAAAACCGCCTTTCTAAATGGAAATTTGGAGGAGAATGTTTACATGGACCAACCAATGGGGTTCTCAGTTGAAGGAAAGGAACACATGGTGTGCAAATTAAAGAAATCAATATATGGACTTAAGCAAGCTTCCCGCCAATGGTATTTAAAGTTTAATGATACCATTGTTTCCTTTGGATTTAAAGAAAACATTGTTGATCGATGCATATATTTGAAGGTCAGTGGGAGTAAAGTTATATTTTTAATTCTATATGTTGATGACATCTTG